CTGAAAATAAAGGATATGTACTCTATGGATGCTTAATTCACTTCCATGGTTGGAATGTTAGGAAATATCTGAGATTCCTTGTGAGGTGAATCTCCTGAGGTATCAACAGAACAGTCACTGGAGAATGTGGTAAGAGATGCCAAAGGGCCACTGCAAAGACTTCCTTTGTTGCTGATTAAAGTCTCAAAACTTTATTAATGTTGGGGTTGCTGGAGCCTTGATTGGTGGGAGGGAAGGAAAGCTCAACCCATTTGCATCCCAAGGAGGAAACTGCTAATGCACTGACAGCCAAGTTTGTTTTCTTAACTTTACCTAGCCAGAGACAAGGGCAGAAAGGGTATATGTTCCTGTTCTTGAGATGGACTTCATGGAACATTACTGGGGATTTCCTGGCAAGATGCATTCCATTTTTTTCTGATCTATTTATGTTAGTCAAACTCTCTGTTGAAGTTGATGAGGGTAGGAAGCCTGAGGATCAAGGGGAGGAAGCCTTTGTCCTCAAATTAAATAATTGGGAATCTACTTTCCCAACTTCCTTAAAGGGCCTGTCCTGGAAATAATTGCTCAGTGATGAATAGCCACAGCTAGTTCACCTTCATAATGCACAGAACTTTCCTATAGCATTCAATACACGAACATTTCCACAAAAAGCCAATGTATTTCAAAATCGGTGTGTGTGTGTGTGTGTGTGAAAGGGCGGAACGGGTGGTCTTCTCTCATTTTATTCAATAATCCTGCAAGACATTTTGAGCTCAGAGCAACTGACTGGCGAAAATCATCCAGTATACTCTAACTTCAAGTAGGAATATGAATGTGGTCTTCCTAGACCCAGTAAAATACACTACACTGGCAGTTCATATATTTTCCCTGAAGCCCTGTAACCCATGTGCTTAAAAGTTAAATGAAAAGGATGGTACCTCTGAGAAGACACCAGTCTTTTTCCATTAAGATGGGGGTCCTCTCTGAAGAGTGATATAAGGTGCTTTAAGAAGAGGCATATGGCAAAAGTTCTGAGACAAAGGGGATGGGGAATTCCTGGGAATTTACATCCTCCTCAAAACCCAAGTCAAAACAAGTCTTCTCAAATGATTGTGTGTGTGTGGAAAAATCCCAAGTGGTTGTAAAGGAATGCCAAGACATTCACACTTTAGGCTTCAGGAGCATAAATAATTCTGTCTCCCATAAAATATTACACTTTTTAAGCTGATTAAACAACAACAGCCTTCAGACTCAGCCAATTCAGATGCTTAGATAGAGCAGCAATCAAAGCCCAGGGGGCCTAAACATGAGAAAGAAGAGCCAAGAAGATTCAGGCATCAACTACCTTTGTTCATACATAGTCAGATGCAGAAATAACTGCATCAAAGCCTTTTAAGAGACAAGCAGAACAAAGCCACATTATGAACAGGTTTTCCTGCTATTGCTTTAAGCTTTGTAATTATTAATTTTTGTCTAGTTTACACAGCTTAAAAGTGATTTTAGTGCAGCAGACTTGCACCCTGATTGCTAAGCACAATACAGAAAATATTGGGCAAATTACCAAGTTAGATTATGCTGCAGATAATAATAATTTATTAATGACATCAGCATTTTTGGAGGGCCCAGTAAATACTGGCATGATTTATGGAAGGCAAGCAGTCCATCAGTTCTATCTATCTACCACAGACAAGAAAAGCCCTTGTCTAATTCACACAGAGAGAACTATCACTATTCCCATCACTTACCTGCTGCGGAAGAAGCTGTTGTTATAATAATGGCAGGCTCCACTCTTACTATTGCAGGCTTTCTTCCACCATGTGCAGGAAGAGTCAATGAGGATGCCAAAGAGGGTAGGAGCTGGCAACCAGGCTTGGAAAGAAGGAAAGAAAGAAAAACCCACTAGTTGCCAATCCTTAAGTCATTTCCCCTTTTCTTTGTGTAGGAATCAGTGCTCAGTCATTGCAGGGTGCAAATATGGCTGACCGCTTTCACAGTGTTTATTGCCTTACATACAGGTAGCATAAAGCATAAAGTAAGATGGCATCAGCATAGTAACAGCATTTCTATTGGTGAAACCCCTTGCCAATCATTAAGAAGATATCAGCTAAGAGGCCCCAGACAGGGAGCAGTTTTCTACCACATCCTGTTGATGTAAACTAGATGATATCATGTACCAGCCTGGGGCAGTTTCCCACATTGCCATGGTGATGTGAATGGATGAGATCATGTAGAGAGAAGAGGCACGCAGGCGTTGGAAGGGCAGTTTGCTGCTCACGACCTCTACCTGGCCCCTATCTCTACACTTTGCTATGCTCAATATAAAACCTTAAAATAATATTACCTTAAAATAATATTACCAACACCCTTTGCATGTATACTCAGAAGTAAATCCCTATTATGTTCGATGTGGGTTATTGCTTTATAAATAACTTTAGGTTTGCAGACTTGGGCTGATACTCACCCAGTAATCTCATCAATAGGAACTGGATTCCAATAGCAAAAGACTTTTCATCATAGGACACCACTCTGTTTAGAATCAAAATACAGTAAAGTATATCAGAAAGCCAGATAGGGGGAGCAAGGATTTGGTCCCGCTCTCTGAAAAACTAAAAAGATTGATGATGATTATGAATGGTTGTGGAACAGCCATAGCAAATTAGTTATCTATTTATTTAGCATATGGCATATCACACATGATTTAGCAATATATATTAACATTTCACCTAGATTAGTAAAATACTGTAAAATATAAATGTTAAAAAGATCTATGTTCAAATACCAATATCTAGGCCAGTGATGGCGAACCTTTTAGAGACCGAGTGCCCAAACTGCAACCCAAAACCCACTTATGTATCGTCAGGTGCCGGGTGGGTGTGGCCCATCGGGTGGGCATGGCTCATCGGGTGGACGTGGCTGTGGTGGTAACGGGTGGGACTAAAACGTTCAATCAATTCCAACTTTGTGAGATCTTTTTTTTCCCCGCGGGAAGTTGAAATTGATCGACTGAACCGGGGTTTTTTGCACACGGCGGCGGAGGCCTAAAGCGAAAAGGTTTTATAAAACCCAGCTGAAGGCCTAGGATTGGGGCGACGGTGCACGTGCCCACAGAGAGGGCTCTGCGTGCCACCTATTCGCCACCACAGATCTAGGCCATCCAACCACTGAAACGCAGCATCATTTATTTTTAAAAAAATCAGATACTGGACTGATATATGCCCTCAGCTTACAGTGATTTGATCTACAGCAGGGGTCCCCAACCCCTGGTCTGTGGACCAGTATCGGATCACATGCATGCCAAACAAAGCCCCATCCGTGAGATGTAGGCAGCACACAAAATCACGCACCCTCTGGTCCACGGAAAAACTTCTCTCCACCGAACCGGTCCCTACTGCCCCAAAGGTTGGGGACCTGTGATCTACAGTTTGATGTAGAACCCTGCAATTACCACCAAGGGAAGGATACAATGCCCCATTTATACGGTGGGTCCCAGCAGATGCTGTGTGGGGTGTGAATCCTATTGGGGTTTTTCTATGGCTGACATGGTAGTTCAAAACCTGGCACTTGTTTTTGTAGGGTCATTCATATGTCTGGGCATTCAGCAACCCATTTGGCTTTAGTTATTTAATTATTTTACATAAAAAAGTGTTAAACTTGAAAAGAGCCTATAAAAATATAAAAAAAACATTTCTGGTGATAGTACGTCATAAATTCTATACTTTGTACAATAAGACCAGGTGAAACCTATTTTTTTTTTACTTTTAGAAGGCACCTGGCTGCCCTGCTAATGGTCAGACTTCAATTTCAGAGTACTCAGCAATAGTTATACTGGCTCAGGAATTTTGGAAGTTGATTCAAATGTCAGTAGAGCACCTAGACTGGGAAAAGCTGTATGAAAATATATCAAGGTTTTAGGGTTTCTTTTATTTTACTCCATATTGCTACGTTACAGTTGGCATTTGTATGTATTACAAATTACAGATGTATTGCATGGGACTATCTACTAAGGCCCTAGCCCCTTCTTACCGTAACACCATCATGTAGAGAGGGTTGTGAGAAAGGCAGGCAATCAATGCAGAAAATGAAATGACGAATATAACAGGCAACAACAGATGGGCACAGCTAACAGGGCAAGATCCAGTCTTTGCTGAAGATTGTCCATTCTTGGTGGAGATACAGGAGCAATTTGTATAGATCTTGTTGAAAGAAAAGAAGGGAAATCAATTCACTTCAAGGTTGGACCATAGCTTAATGGTAAAGCCTCAGAATCATAAGTACCCAGGTTCAATCCCTGGCCTTTCTAGTTTAAAGTACACATGTTAAGAAAACCTCTGTTCTAAATGCCCAACTGGTCAGAATATACAACACTGAATAAACAAATAGTTTGATACAACATAAATCAGCTCCCAGTGGTTCATGGCTTAATTACTTCATGGCCAATTCACTGTTTGGCTGCTGAAAATTGTGGTTATATGTCTGAGGGGAAAAGAGCAGTGTGGAATTTGGTTGTAATACTACTCTAGTGTTATAGACATTGTATGCACATTTAAAATTATATATTGATATTACATTGTGTGATCCACTATTCTGAAAGTTTAGAGCAGGAATTAATAAATACAAATACCCAAATAGATAAATAAATTAAAAAGTACAGTTCTGATACTTCATCTTAAACAATTAGCTTGGACCACAAAAAGCAATTTTAAAAGTAAAATAGAGCTTCTAAAGCTAACTTAGATTTTGGCTTCTGCACTTCTTGAAGTACACGTAAAAGCCCAATAATAAACAGCAGACGTTATAAGAAAGCTGTCTAGCACACCAATATACAATCTGTGGTCTCAGCCCTGTAAAATGGTAAAAGTTTCCCTGTCAATCATGTCTGACTCTAGGGCAAGGTGATCATCTCCGTTTCTTGGCCAAAGGAGCCAGCATTGTCCAAAGACAATTTCCATGGTCTTGATAGTATTAGTAAAGCTATCTTATGTGTTGTATTGCCAATCCATGTATTTTTTATTATTTATGTTGAAGAACAATATTTCTTCAATTTTTTTCTTGAGAAGTATATTTAATTAAAATAAACAGAATTAAAACTGAGATTCTCTGCATGAAAAGCACATATTTTCAGTAATGAATCCTGCTCTAAACACTATCATTAAGGAGAAAGCACTTGGTTTCCTTATCTAAGAGTGATTTGGCCTTAGTCCCACCCTGTCTCCGTGATGAGTGCTAGATAGATTTGAATCCCATAAATAACCCAATAGAGCCACTCTGCATCCTTAACCTCTTACAATTCCAGAGACTGAAGAATTAGAGAAGAAACCACTACAGCCAGCGTGACAGGGAGAGAGGTACTCCACACCATCATCTCCGCAGACTGGATGGAAGAGATACTTTGAGCAGGAGCAGCGAAGGTTACATGGATCCTGTTCTGGGGAACTTGATGTACTGCCAGAAAAAAGGGAGACAAAATAACATGGAACCAATGAGTGAAATGTGTTTTCTTGAGTGGGCTGGTGATTCCAGCCTATTATTGTTGGGTTTTTGCCATCTTGAACCTTGGCCTATTGCCTTCTGAAGGTATTGCTAATGGTGTTTAGTTAAATCATACACAATCATTACACATACAAACATGTGCAGATAATTTGGGGAGAAAATCATTTGATTCCTGAAATAATCTATCTGATATAAGCCTATCAGTAGAAATCAAGTGGAAACCAAGGGGGGAAATGTCAAAATGATACTGTAATTAAAATGGAAAAGCTTCTTAAGGCAAAAGTACATTCTCAAGGCAAGATCACATTCTTACAATTCTCTTTTTGAATTGGACCCTTCATTCCCCCAAATTATGAACTCCTGACCAATGACAATTTAACATTATGAATCAATGGAATGCATTACATAAGCTTTTTCGAGGACTAAGACTGGAGCCACTTTCATTCTAAGCACAGATCACGTATTTTATCAGTAAGCTTTCATCTTTCAAAAACATCACAGGAAAAGCTTACTAAATAGTGCGATTTTCTCAAAACCTTTCTGGGAAAGAACTTATAATCCTTGCAATGAATAAGACTTCCATCATTTTAGCTTCTCTATGCTCAAGTTCTTGAATGGGTTAGTGAAAACTGATACAGGTAGTCCTTGATTTACAACCATTTGTTCAGGGACTGTTCAAAATTACAATGGGACTGAAAAAAATGACCTGACCATTTTTCATACGACTATTGCAGCACCCCCAACATTCGGATGCTTGGCAATTG